TTTTTGAGAGGAGGAGATGTTGCTTAGTGCACCTGCAATTCTTTTATTTCTGATGGAAAGTGGAATGGCTTAATTGCTTCAAGTGAAGGAAGTGCCCTCATTATGAATTTGCTTCTTTGATCAGGAGACCCCACCTGTTAATTACAGCCTTCCTGCCCCACAGCCAGGTATGGGGTGAGCGCTGTCAGACTGCTGGTCCCCACAGCATGGTGCTTGGAATCTATTTATTGAAAATAGCTGCCCTGAAATTACACGGGCTCTCGCTGAGAAACTGTCTGCAAACCTCACAATTTGTGTCTTCTCCTAAAAACTGTAGTTTCTGATTTTTGGTTTCCTATATGGGTGGAGCTTTCTCTCAAGAGTTTATAGTATAACATGGATTTGGTTCTGGAGCCTCCTTTGCTCTAGAGCCAGTACTTTGCTTGCCTGCTTTTTTTTTGTTTGCTAGGATTACGTTATCAGCCATTTGCGTGCAAGGATTGCCAAACATAAGGAAAGATGTATTTCCTAGTTCATTGTCTGCTAAAGGACTTATGCTTGCATTAGAAACACTTGATTTTCCTTTAGTGAGACTGGGTTTGTGGCTGTGTTAGTCTGCCAGGCCCTCACTGAAGCTCTGTTTTCAGATAAAGCGGTGGCTGTTTATTCTTGTTTGCAGATGTTAGTATTATATGCTGCTGACAGATGCAAATGGGAGTTTACACAGTGATTTATGTGAACACAAATATGTCATTAAGCTTACCAGATACAGCCAAAGTGTGAACAGTAAGGAATAATGAAGTTTAAGACAGCATCTCAGGTTGCCCAGAGAGGTGGTAGATGCCCCATCCCTGGAAACATTCAAGGTCAGGTTGGACGGGGCTCTGAGCAACCTGATCTAGTTGAAGATGTCCCTGCCCACAGCAGGGGGGTTGGACTAGGTAACCTTTAAAGGTCTCTTCCAACCCAAACTATTGTATGATTCTATGATCTATTAAATAGTAATAATAGTACCTTTCAATGTATTTATTATTTTTTTATTGTTGTCATGGCTTCTAATGCATTTTTTAATCTGTTAATCCATGAAAGAGGTATTATCCCCTTGCAGATAGTTCACTGCCACCATCTGAAAAGCTCAACACACAACCCAAGCAGCCTACCAGTAACAGAAACCGCAAAGTATAGTGTTATAGGATATCATTATCTCTGCATGTAAGCAGGAACTAACAACTCTTGCAAATGTAAACACTCCACCTGCTCATTGTAAGGAGGTTGGAAAGCAGAAAGGTGGATATTAGACATACCTGAATCCAGCTGTAATAAAATCAGTACCCTCAAGGCGAGTCCCCCCCCCAAGAAAGGATGTGTATTCATAACACACATTTAGCTAACGTGGAATAAAACCATAGGGATGCCAAGGCAGCTCGTGGCTTTCACCTGTGTGGGCAAATGTAGCAAAAAGCTCTTTAAGTTTCCCAGCTAATGAGTTAGGAAAATTCTTTTATATGTGTTAAAGCGTAAGCTAGAATTGGGAACGTTTCAGTAACAGCGTGGCATGTGGCTAAGGTAACATTGCAGCTTGCTGCTGCCAAAAGAGGAATACCTCCTTCCTGTCTGCCTTCCTGCCTTCCCTCCACCTGCTTCCAGCATGGTCCAATATCTTTCCCTTGTCAGCTCTAGCACACATTTGGACCCCTTTGCCAAGCCTACACAACTCGTTACAACCGAGTAAAGGACAGGAACGTGCAGGATGACTCCCTTTCAGCAGCACTAGGGTGTTACATTAGCTCACCTTGTTTCATAAAACTACATCCTCAGTTGTTTATCCTGCTGTTGTCCTGCCAGGCCTTCCTCCAAAATACACGGGCAGTCAGCTGGAGGGCTCTACAGGATTTCACTGAGCTTTGGATGGAGGCAGTAGAGATCAACCTAAAAGGTGCTGCCTTGTGTGGTCCTAGGAAGACTGGTATTTTTTCAGGATCAAGAGAAGTTGTGATTCTGCTGTTGTCATTATGGATTCTTTAAATTAACTGGTGGTGCTTTCCACAAGGGTATGTGTGTATTGCTACTCTGATATAGCTGCTAAGCAGTTCTATGTAAGAAGCCCCCAGAGGATTCATGCATGTCTTGCTGCACGATGAAGACTGTCAGTACTTCATGGTACAGAAATGAGGTGGAAACATGGGAAAACCTGCCCCTCTGGATTGCCAGCCTCCCTCATGCTCCACTAGATTTTATACACATATTTGTCAGCTTATTTAAACAAGAATAAGCAAACTTTTGTCTTTACAAGCTTGATCTGTTCAAATGTCTGCGTGGAATGGCATTTTCTTCTCTTCCTTGCAGGCTCGACCCCAGAGCTCACTAGCAAGTCTTGTAATCCTAAACCGCATGTTTTGGTAGACAAGAGTAGGTTTTTGGAGGGATCTATTAAATAAATGGAGGTAACTCAAGTAAAGAAGGATTCTAGTAATTAGCTTAGGCTAGATACCTAACTGTAAATAGCTCAAGTTTAAAATACAAGTGCACAATTTAACCATGCTTTCTACCCTGTAAATCCCATAAATTACAATTTTTTCTCTCTTGGATACCAATTGATGAACTGATTGATTCAGCAACAACTTTCAATTTTTTTATAGTAGTTTAGTGATATGTGAGTATTTTTTATTAGCAGATTGTTGGGCAGGGGTTGTAACGAGATGCAGGATATGTCTGAAAAAAACCTCTCTTGTTACAATTTGAGGAAGCACCATTGTGATAAATACAGATTTTTTTAATTAAAAACGTGAAATGACACCAGTCTTCTAAATCTATATAAAAGCATTTCATAACATATTATAAAACTAAAGTGGAAACACACTGATTTGAAATCTTGTTCTTGATCTTATTCAGAACAGCTTGAAAGTTTATTTGGCAGAAAAGGCTTTTTACTCTGCAAAAGCTGATTTTTTGGGAAAAGAATAAATTTCAGCATTAGCCCATGGTTCCCCTTCTATTGTAGCTAGTCGTGTACTTTCAAATCCTGACTTTCTAAAAGGGCCTTCTGCATCCTGAAGGTGAGCTATAAAGCAATAATTTAGTTGTGTAATTGATTCACAGGTAACTGCAGACAAAAATTGTCCAGAAAACTGTAAAAGTACTAGACACTACAATTCGGTTTCCTGTATGAGAGATGAGGACTGATATTACAAACACGATGTGTCAATCCATTAAGAGCAGTTTGGCGGATAGGGTTTGTGAGGGAGTTGTCAGAGTTAACATTTCCCGTGAGAGCTGGAGGTAATTGATCCATCCATAAATACTGCTTCTGCGGCTGCAGAGAGAGTAGCTGTGCAAAGCAAATCTCCTATTTATGTATTTCCAAATGAATGGTAGAGAGAACACAGCTTTTAGTCTCTCCAGCAGTGTCTGGTCCTGTCACGGTAGGAGAGCATAAGGCAAATAGGAATAATTTCCTATTTGAGAATTGCTCCAAATCATCTCTTAGACCCCGCTGCAATGAGCCTACCGCTTTTGGGTCCCAGGCTGCATTCTTTATAGCTTCCTTCTGGGTGGTTTTGTCACGATTATGCTCCATTTCAAAGAATTCATCACTTTTAAGACCACCTAATTCCACCTTACTTTATGCACTTGACTGAAGCACTAAACAAAGTGTCTAATTATTCTAAGCTCTCTCTTAGCAGTCAGCAGGGAGAGAAGAGCATTTCCAGAAGGAAGTTAACGCTGTAGGTGGAGCGGGTTGCTCTGGGAGATGGACTGTAATGGAAATCAGGGGAAATTGGGTCCTAATCAGACAGCACAGATCCAGAAAATAAGTTGGTATATATCTGGACATTAGTTTTTGGCATAACCATCAGATATTTTCAGATTTTCTGCAAGGGCTGACAAAAAAAAAAGCCCCTTTTCCACATTCTTGAATGTTGGGCAGGCACCCCGCTAAACAGACTTGCAAAAGGATTTTGCTTTTCTTCTGTTCAGCCTCCAAAGTAATGAACTTGTCATGGTCGAGTCTGTAACACCCACCGTACTTTACTGAGCCTCTGAGTCTTTCTCACCTTTAAGGATCCAAGAGTAAGAAAAGAAGGTGCTCCTAAAGGTTTTGAACTTGTTCCAAGAAGGTTGGCGTTTGGAAAATAATAACCTCTGTAGAGGATCCACCTAATCACTGGGAAAGCTGAAAATCTTAAGCACCATCATGTAATACAAGAGAGATTTTTCGAAACTTGTTTCCAGTAGTCTTTAAGAAGAACACAGATAATGCTCCAGACCAGCAGTCAGGGAACTCGAGCACAGCTTTCAACTGAAGGCTGGACACAACTGCCAGGTCACAAGTTGTTTCATTCCCACACTTCACTTTCTTTATCTGCACCTTGCCTAAGAGTAATGGCAGTGCAGTGCTGGAAATGGGAAATACCATTTACGCTTTTATTTCATTAGTTGCACAGAGGTATATAATGATTTTGATAGTTCTTTTTTACATAATATAGAAGTAAGGAGGAATGATAAATATAATCCAACAGGTGTGGGTTTACTGGCATTTCTCTGTAAAGACATGGTATTTTTTTATCAGCACACTTAGTGTGCTTTCTTTCTAGCTTCCCTGCAGAGTGACCATACCATATACTTTTCTAGGAAGCTATTTGTTTTCCTTTCTCTACCTACACAGAAATCATAGTGTTCTTCTAATTTCTTTGTAGGATTTTGATGATTTATCAGAAACAGATATAAGCAGTGAGGATCAGCATCATAACATCAAGCCTGACCTTATGGAAGAGGAGCTTAAATCCAGGTTATTTCAGCTCGCTGCTAAAATGAGTGACAAGGAAACATCTTCTGGTGAAGAACAAGAGTCAGAACCTAGAAGAGATGCTGAAAACCAAAAGGAGAGTTTGTCTTCAGAGGAAAATGGCAGAAGTATTCAGGAAGAGTTAAAGAAGGTAAGCAGTCATTGTAGATCAGTGGGGCTAATATTGTAAAAGTTAGAATCCGGAAAGTGAAACTTTTGGTTAGAAAATTAAATATAGTTGCTTAAAAAAATCCGAGGTCCTTTACACTGGGTCTAAGCCTGCAACTCTTGTGCAGATAAAACTTTAATTAAGGTGTGTGTTCCTTCCTGTGAGCCTACAGCATCAATTCAAAGCAGTGAACTTAGCTTGTGTAATAAACCTGTGACTGATATTAATGGAATTATGTCAGTTTATACTGACTGAGAATCGGCTTATATGTTTTTATTTAGAAACATGTCCAGTTCTCTTTTTTTCCTCCTTGCTAACCAGCTGGCTTAAGTGGTTTTTTTCAGTCCTTTTATTTGCTCCCCTGTTTTTAGTGTAGTTCATTCTGATGTCATAGATTCCTCTTTTGCCTCTCTATTGGAATATTTTGTGCTTCTTTAAAGCTTTCCAACCCCGTTACTCTGTCAGCTAACAGGCCTCTGTGAGTAGTAACTGAAGTTTCTAGTGAAACTGAAATCCAGTGTCAGTTCTGATAATATATGTGATCTTCTGTTTGTGCCATTTCACCCTTACAATGAAATATCTGATTTCAGTGTCACTCCACAGGACTTACCACCTGCCCTCTTCCCTATCTACCTCTGAATTTCTCTTCAGATCATGCCGTGTGCTTGAATTTTGGTGCTGTAGAAGCCCAGCATTGCCGCTTGCCAGTCAAGCACTCTTGTCCCTTAGATCCACTTAGGCTCATTATTGTTTGCTGTGTGTCTTGATTCACCTCTTGGTGTGTTGTCTGCACAGCAGCTCAGGTTTGACAAGGGGTGTGGACAACTCTGTAAAGGAAGTATATTCATCATCATTTGAAAGGTGTTTTGTTCAAGTACTATAAAGAACTAATACACCAGGAGGTGGAAGCAGGATCAAGTGACCCAGGTGGATGATAAGATGCTGTCCAAGTGTGCAGGAATGGTGTCAGGAAAGCCAATGCCCACCTGGAGTTGAATCTGGTGAGGGACATGAAGGGAAATAAGAAAGGCCTCTACAGATATATCAGCAGCAAAAGGCAGATGAGAGAAAGCGGGGCTCACTCCTGCAGTGACCTGGTGATACAGGACATGGAAAAGGCTAAGTTACACAACATTGTTTTCACCTCAGTTTACGGGTAAGATTTGCCCTCAAGAATCCCAGGCCCCTGAGACCTATGGGAAAGTCTAGAGTAGTGAAGACTTACCCTTGGTAGAGGAGAATCAGGTTAGCAAATATTTCAACTAACGGGACATACACACGTGCGTGGCACCTGATGGGGATGTACTCACGAGAGCTGAGGGAGCTGGTCCATGTCATTGTGAGGCCACTCTTGCTCATCTTTGAAAGATCATGGTAATCTGAGGCATTCAGAGCACTGAATATTGTTTATTTTGACTTTAACAAGGCTTTCAACACTGTCTAACATAACATCCTCACAGACAAATTGAGCAAGTAAAGACTGGATAAGTAGACAGTGAGGTGGACTGAAAATTGCCTGAATTGTTGGGCCGAAAGGATTGCAATGAGAGGCTCGAAATCTAGTTGTAGGCCAGTCACTAGTGGTGTACCCCAGTGGTCAATACTGGGACCAGTACTGTTTAACATCTTTGCTATCGACAGAGACAATGAGACAGGGTGTACCCTAAATTTGGAGGAGCGGTTGATACATGAGATGGTTCTGTTGTCATTCAGAGGATCTTGACAGGCTGGAGAAATGGGCTGACAGAATCTCATGAAAGTTCAACAAAGGGAAATGCAAAGTCCTGCACCTGGGGAGCAATTATCTGGGCAGTTGTCATTGTCCCAGTACAAGGGACACATCAACATATTGAAGTGAGTCCAGTGAAGGGCCTTTCCAAACTTAGGTATTCTGTGACTCTCCGATTCTGAGTTATTTAGCCATAGACTATACAGCAGTGTAAGTACCTTCATCGTCATGTATGCAAATACCTCCATGATGTACACACAACCTTTCTAAGGAAACCAAATAAAAGCTTTATCGCCAGTGCTTGTTAGCAGCATTCGATTTAGCTTGTCTTTGATTTACAAAGACAAACCAGCAATCAAATTATTCAACAGGATATATAGGCTGGCTAAGGTATAACATGATGCAATTAAAGTCCACAATTAAAGGCTGTGAATAGGACTTTCTGAAATGCTCCTATATGGTGAACTGAGCACAGAAAATGGCAGATGTGTGTTTTATATTAGTAAGGATTATTAGTTGTTTTTTCCTCCTCTGATTTTATTATTTCTTTAACATTTGTATGTCAGTTATTTAAAATAATGCAAAGATTGATATTTTTTTCCTCAGTAAAATTTCCTTAAGCTTAAAAAAATAAGAGACATACCATGTTCAGCAAAAAGGGAGTGCAAAAGGGAGTGCTTGGACTTCCTAATTCTTTATTGGTTTTGGATGAAAAAAAAGTCTTAGTCATTCATGGTCGCAGTATATATTCTTTCTGTCTATAATAAAGAAACCAAAATATCCCAGTACTATTCATGGTCATGACTTCAGCAGAATTGATAGCGAAATTTGCTCCAGCTGTAGAGAAACAAGCAGGCTGCTTTCATTCTTATTCTTGACAGTTGTCCTTAAAGGTGATTTAAAATCTTCTGACGCGTGCCTTCTCTTTGGAAAGGTGGCTGACCAACATCTTACAATGAAATACTGAAGATGACAGTATATAATACCGGTTGTGGCTATGGTAACCTAAAATACGAAGACCTAGCTAAACTCAAAAACATGAAGTAACTTTAAGATGAGTAGATGGCATGTCTCAATAGAGGCAAGCACAGAAAACGTATTTTCAGGGAACCAGTAATTTTACATGCCTTAAAAGCCAGATGTCCCAAGATGTTGTCTCTAAGATGCCTGATTTTTGGAGAATGCATATGTAGGGAATTACAGATCTTTCAGACTGGCACCTAACATTCTTGGCCAGAGACCCACACTTCTGACCTGGGCATCAAGTTTCAAATTAGGTATACAGAAGCACTAATTCTGGGCCATTGAAATGAGACTTGAGTGCCTACAATCTTCTTTGAGCTCCTGAACGCAAATTAAATACTGTATTTTAGCCATCTTGCTTGTATTTTAGCCATGTTGCTTGTCTTTGTTAGCCTTTAGTATTCTATTCTCATGCTTATTCTGGAACACATTACCAACCATAAATCGCAGGGAATTTCTAGTTACAGTACACCTGACCATAGAATAGATTTCAAGAAACATGTATTGTTTATTGAATCACTGGAAATTAAGTACCTGGTGCTCATGAAAATCTGACTTCCACATGTCTGCACCTTTCAAAATGTGGACTTCTGTTTTTAATGGAAGCTGGGAATCTCATATAGTCACATGTTGAGCTGATGCTTTAGAAAGGGTGTTTAGTATATTCAGATCTGTAGCAATGGCAAGAATTGGCACGTCTTGAGCGGGAAGTTAGCTGAAGTTGGACATTTATGTGTTCTTAGTTCTCACCTCAAGCTAATCTCTTGAGTTATATGTCTGCCTTTAAGATACAAGTTTGAAAATGCTGACCTTTGAGTTAATTATTTAGTTCATGTGGGATACTTGAGGATTTAGGTGGGTATTAATTAATACAAGTTAATTTTATGCCTTAGATTTAAATCCTCTCAGACCTTCAGCACAATAATTTTCAACATTTCTAAGTTTGTGATTGCCTAAAATGGTCTTGTGGAGATTTACAGCTCTCTAAAACAAACATAATCCTACAGCAGGCTTGGTTTTATAGACAACATTTTGTGCTTATTAAGCTACAGAAGTAGTTTTTCAGGGATATGCAGACCCCTGAAAAGCCTGCTCACCGCAGTGGTGTAATGAAAGGCCATGGAGTCCTGTATGCTCAGGCTAGAGTCAGCCTTCAGCCCCTCTACACTTCAGGTGTGAACAAACCAAAAATCACATTGTGCAACTGCTGCGTTAGTGAAGCATCTTGTACTAGCACAGTGATTTGCACAGTTCTTTCTGCCTTGCTCTTTTTTTTTTTTTTTTTTTTTTTTTTTTGCTTCACCCCCCCAAACCCTAACCAAATACCTAAAGAAAAAAGCAAAATGTAAATCCCCTTGGGACTATCTTAATGATACTGATCCTGAAAGTGGCAAGCATGATAAATGGGTTTTATTTAGCTCTTGCTCTCCTCTATCCTCTCTCCTTCTCTTTTAATGCTTTCATGAAGATGAATAGCCCGGGTTTATATTTCATGGTATACCCTAGAATTACATTCTAGAAGGCAATTTCAGCAGTGCCTAATGAGACTGCATTTTGAATGCAGTCTATCACTGTGACCACCTTATTACAAACTATGGAGATGCTGTTGAAGAAACAGAATAGCCCCTGTTTTTTGCAAATTGCCCCACATAGCATAAAAACTGAAATAGTTGTTAAAACCTTACTTGTGTTTCTCTTTTTGCCTCCTACTTTGTACTCCTCCTTGCTTAAGATATGCAAATGAGCAAGTGAGTTAAACTTCAGTAGTAACGTTGAGTTTCTCTCCTCTTTGCATTAGCTTGATGCAACATGCTGTGTGCTTGAGGAATTTCTTTTAATCCCTTTACGCATTTACTTCTCCTCAGAGAATCTTTCAACCAAGGCTTAGTAACTTTGTTTAAATCCTGCTGTTTTCTGTTGACATTATTACATGACGAGGCTCTCTTCCGAATGACAGCTTGTAAGTTTGTTAAGTAGCACAGTGGGATCCTGTTCCCTAAGTGAAACTTCCCAAATTCCTTGACAGTATGAATAACAGCATAAATATTCTTTCCATAAAATATTTATGCCTTCATTCTCTGGAAATATTTTACTCATTTTAGGTTTTATAAAGCTTTATTTTGGGGAAAGTATGTACTACAAGCATCATCTTCATGTGTATTTGTGCCACAGGCCTGTATGCTTTGTTTCGAGAGAGTACACCTTACATTTTTCACCAGGTAAATTAGCA